TTCTGTTCCAAGAGCTGTAGCTTAGCAGGCTGGTAACCTCAATTCCTTACCTAGAGAATGAATTTCCAAGATAAGAACACTTCTTCTGGTTGTAGCTGAGATAGCTATCCAGACTTGGCCCCCTCAGGTGCCCTCCTTTGGGTCATGCTGCTCTGAGCATACTTTATTGAATATTTTATTTTCTGCACAATTTTGTGGCTTTACTATTCTCCTTCTTGGCTAGTTGATAAATTAAATTTATCTAGATCAAAACCACTCCTCAAGACAATCTCTGATGAGAATCAGAGGTAAAGATAAGCAAGTTGGGCTTACCTAAATCCTGTGTTTAGTCCATACATAGCTTCTCCACCCCCAAAATAGCTTTGGAAGTCTGGGCAAGAAAGACAACTATTTTTCTTCTTTTATTTCGTTTAAGGATCTAAACAGAATTTGCACTCTTGGCATACCCAGGTTTTCTATAGCTATTACTATTCTCTGTGAGCCCACCAGCTCCATTTGACTTGTGTCTTACTAGAAAACTTTATCTCATCTTCATATTTGCTCCATGACTTTTGTATTAATAATGTCTCACATAGTCCCCTTCTCTAAAAGGAGGTAAGTGTGTAGCTAGGTAGCTTTCTGCTAATACCTGATAAAACCTTATATTACTAGGATCATGAAATTTCAAGATGGAAGAGATCTTTGGGATAGTTTATTTAGCATATGGGGAAACTGAGGCCCAGAAAGATTAAGAGACATGATCATACAGAAAGTTAATAACAGCACTGAAACAAGACTACCTGTCTCCTCATCATTGACTCTTTTATGTCACACATTGCTGATAAGTATTAAGAAACTTGTATAACTATTAGGTTTCTTTAAAAAAATAATTTTAAGCCTAATATTGGTCTGTTCATTCCAATCTAAAGTAAACACCCAAGAACAAAAAGCAAATTACTACATCTAAGTATATATTCATCTGCTTCTACTAGTATAAGAGATTTATACCATTCCATTGAATCGAACTTTTTCACTTACCTATGAACTACTTCATTTGTAACGTAGACACTTTATCTTTCCCATGCAGAGTAAAAATTTTAAAAAAGTTTTAATGTCATACATAAGGAAATTTAAACAAATTCTCTTCCAGTTTCTTTCACCTTCCTGCAGATTTCTTCTAAAACGAAGATGGTAAAATAAAAGATACATTCTTATTCAGTTCTTCATTCACCAGAACTGCTTTCTCAAAGTGGGTAGTGCTGATCAAGAACAACAATTTTAAGTGTCCTCACTGACATTTCAAAATTGGAAGAAGATTTGTTAGTGAAAAAAACTACAAGCACCCTTGCTTCTTTGGAAAGTCTCTTGTGATCTAGCTGTTAGAATGAGTACTTATGCCCACAACAGAAAAGCTTTCTGTCCTGGTTTAAAAAAACTGTCATGGCCACAAGGATGTTACATGGAACATTATAAGGAGAAATTGGTTTGGGCAAGTACCAGACACATGAAGGAATGTGAGATGAGAATCTAATTTGAAGGCTCAAGCTCTGATCTAGGTCCTGAGCCAGACTCCCAGAGTTGGGAAAAGTTTGCCCTTCGAGGGCCCCATTTTCAAACAAAGGAAGAAAGGGTAAAACAGCTATCCTCAGATGTAAAGGGGTTAAAACCCCTATGGTCCCTTTGGTCCCTTTTTACAAAGAAGTTTGTGCTTGAGCATTAGAGACTTCTGCTATTTCAATGCCATTCCATCACGCCACAAAAGTAAGACAAACCAAAGGGACAGATCTTGAAAGTAAATTGTCGTTAGGGAGTTATTCATTAAATACATCCCTGAAACCATAGGCAACACCCACGTGCAAATATTAGCCCAGTTGCAGACCCAGGGTAATGCCCAAACCTAACCTAACTTGGAGCTAAGATGGCAATTTGCCAGTAACTAACTTCATGCAATTGGTTCACATAGCTAATCTCTCTCTTCAAATATCTGTGTTGCTAATGGGGACCCAAGGGATCAAAGGACACCTCCACATCAGATGGGAGGTCAGCTGAGGCAGGTGAAGGCCATTTTAATAGAGCCATCACAGATCACTATAGAAACTACAGTTATCTCTAGGTTACTGATAACTAGGGCCATCTCTGCCTTTCAGGCCCATAAAACAGATGTGCCTGGAACAGAGATATACAAGGAAAGTACAGCATTTAAAATCTTTGTGCTATTATAGTGGGGGAAAAAAAGGAGAGGGGGTTCGCTGTTGGATGAAAGAAGCCTAATCAGCTTCCTTTATACACTGAACAATTAATAACTAATCAAACCTTATGTGATATTTCACTGAAGACTGGGCAATAAATAGCAGCTTTCTCCAACTCCCTTTAATTAGTCAGGAGTGAACGGGGTTGGAAATTAGCATTGATCTGCATATAAATGTAAAGAGCTTTAAATATTTATCTTTCTCTGGAAACGTGCCTATAAGGAGCTGGGTTCTAGATGCCTCCTCTCACATACTACCTCCCCTTCTCTCTTTAAGGGTATATCCATTTCCCATGCCAATCAGTTATGCTATGGACATGGAGAGCAGGGAGGTGGGGTGGGGGTATCCAAATAAACTAAAACTCCTCAAGTCTGATCTTTAGCAATGTGAAATGTCTGTGTGATTCAAGAAGTAACATTCTCCAAATTGGGGGAGCGGGAAGGGAGGGAACCATCTAATATCATAATGAAGTAAGGCTACTGTATAAGCACAATTCACTTTAGGGTAAGATTTTAATTTGACATGCTTTTTGAGTGTTAACAATAAGCATTTTTAATGTCTTTAGCTTAATTTTTGCCTAACCTAATGCTTAGGTTGGTAAGCTTGCCTTAATTCAGTCTCTTTGGCAGGAACTGTAACCTAATTCAATATCCTATATATTATCCAAATTCTATATCATATAGAATATATATCAATATTCTGTACTAATATCTGGTTACATTATTTTTCTTGCACTGGTATTTTCTCAGCCTTTTGTTTCAGAAGAACCTGTTATGTTACCTCCAAAAAACTAGACATAAGTTATGAATATTATCAATAATCTTGAAGTAATTGACAGAAAACTAGGAATGTCAAGGATTTATAAAATGAATTTTTTTCTTACTTTATTTATAAGAGAAAAGATACACCTGAATCACTGAATCCTCAGTCTCCACTTTTCAAAATGAAAACTGGAAGAAAATGGATGAAAATTCTTATGCTGGAATCTGTCAACACTTTAGGGAGAAAAAAGGTTCCCAGAAGATTTACTCCCATGGCTTTTTAATTCTGGGCTCAGGCTTGGTTTAGTACTAGCAATAGAAGACACAAATACCCAAAGCAAGTGAATTTCCCAGGGAAACCACACGAAAGTTCCTCATACACCAGCCTCCAAAGGGCTAAGATGTGTTTCCCACAAAATGTGTTTTCTAAAATAATATCTTGGTTGTTTATTTGTGATACTAAAAATCTACTGATGCCCAACTTAGCAGAGGTGGAAGCTCTGGGAAGTCCTACAGAGCCTACAGGCTTTAAGTATGGGCCTGGTGACATATAGCTAGCTGGTCCTCCAAGGACCAGCCCAGCTAAATTCAGACAAGTTCCTTACCAGAAGGGTGATGACACACTGCAACTCATTGAGATCACTATTAAGGCATACCAGGGTAATGATCTTGGTTGCTGGAGGAAGCAGAAATCTACAGACAGAATCATAGATTCTTATAGTGCTGAAGTAAATAGTTAAAATAAAAAATGAACTTTTCTTATTTGATTTCATGAAGTGATATGTTGTTCATGAGTCCCTTTTTTCACATTAAATTCTGTGATTTATTATTTTAAAAAGGCTAAAAAAATTAAATCATATAAAGAAAAAAGAGGGAAGAAAAATAAAGCCTGAAGCACTATTTGTTTTTTGTTTGTTGGTTGGTTTTTTTTTTTTCAAAAAATGAGTACTAGAGTGCCATTCTCATGTATTAGGGGAAAAAATTAACTGAGCTTTAGATATAACAAGGTTCTAATCAGTAGGCAGAGACTAAGAAATTATTCAGGAAATGAAACCATTTTATAAAGCAATTAAAAAACTTGTAGTATGATAAACATCTGAGCATGAACTGACCCACCAAATGGGATTCAAAACCCTTGAACACCAGGCTCACCATCTCCCTGTTGTTGGTCTGGAATTCTACCATCAACCTGCTTCCTACGTCAACATCTCCACCCCCGACACACAAATACACCAAATTCTACAGAATTCCTATCCAGAGGGATGAGGTTTCATTGTTCTTCAAAATTTTTAATAAATACCCAACCACAGAAAATGGCAGTTCCTTTTCCTGTGACTCATACCCAAAACTACCCACAGCAGAGGCTCTAATCCAACCTCCCAATAATTTAAAGCATCCTCCCTTCTCTCCAAAACATAAATTAAAGGAAAAAGGTTTAGTTCACTTGGGGTCTTACCCAACCTGTCAGGACTTAAAAGCAAATGTTCTCATTAGCTAATGGAAATTTGATACATTTTCCCATAAGAGAACTGGCAAGTACCCAGTACGTCTGTGTTTTTTTCTCATTCAAATACTTTGTGCAGAGATGGCTTTTCTGCTCAATATTTATGATCGTTTCACCTATCTGGGATGGGAAATAGTGAACTTGATAAATGGCTTTAAGACTGCCCTGGCTTTACTTTGGCTCCGAAAGTACCACTGTTTCTTTTGCAAAGTCCCTGACACTGATGTTACCACCTTATTACAGAAGAAGAGATGAAGAGAAGAAAAGACTTTATTGCTTCTATTTCTAACTCGGGTGCCACAATATTCAAATGCTAGTGCTACTGGGGCAGCTGTTGGCCTCAACAAGCCCCATATTTCAAATCACAGATAGTGATCAACCCCTCCTCCTTTCTATTGTATACAAGCCAACTTACTTTCAAAGCATAAGTGAACTAGGTTTAATTGCAGTCTTCTCTTTGGAAATCCAAGCAACACAACTTAGAATAAGATTGCAGGAATCACTTACTCTTTGGTCAGGAGGGGACAGGACTTTAGCAGAAATCGAGATAGCCCAGAGTCCTGGAAATAGAGGTCAGGTGGGGCAGTCGGGCTTTTGAGATTCAAACATCTGACGATCACATAGAGCACAGCAGCCACAGCAGCTAACTTCACCCCATCAAATACAGCAGGCAGCTCAGAGGTTTCTAGCATTGCATTCATCTTGAGCCTGTGGAGAAGAGGTAAGGACAGAAGTTTGGTATTTACAGGTCACAGTGAGAAAGTTGCCAAGTTTTAATCTTGTCAATGAAGCATGGAGAGACTTCTTAGAGATTAACAACAGGGCCAGAAGGGTGATGTAGGCTTATGCCAATGAGACAGTAGCAGCATCAATTTCAATTCTTCTTCATAGTCATACGTAGGTCTTCTGAATCCCCAAAAGCCCCTTCCCTTGGCCCTTGTCTCCCATGAAGCTATCATCCCTTTTTTTCTTCCCCAATAATGACCAACCTTTTAGAAAAAAGCTAACTTTATCCAATACCTTATACGTCTTCCTCACAGACCTTTTTGCATCAGTTCTTTATAATCTAGCTTCCACCCCTACCACTCTACTGAAATTGCAGTCTCCTAATGACCTCTTCATTGCCAAACCAATGGCCTTTTCCCAGGCCTCCTCCTACTTCTTTTGCAGCATGTGACACTGTTGACCACCCCCTCTTTCTGGACATGTACTCTTTCCTTGGTTTCAAAGACTACACTATGTTCTGGCTTTCTTCCTAATGATACCTGGCATTTTTTATTATTGAGAGGGAATATAACATAGTAGAAAGAATGCTGGACTTGAAAATCAGGAGAGATCAGGGCTCAGACTCACATCTGCCGGGTAACCCTAGGCAAGTCACTTAATCCCCCTGAGCCTCAATTTCCTCATCTATAAATTAAGATAATAATACTTACCTACCTTACAGGGATGTTATAAAGTGCAAATATAATAATAATATGAGAGAAGTACTTTACAAACCTTAAAACACCATATAAATGTCAACTATTATTATAGTCCCTATTTTACAGATGAGGAAACAAGCTTAGAGAGGTTACATGATTTTGCCCATAGTTACAGAGCTGGTATAACACCAGAGGTAGGATTTAGGGCAGCTAGGTGATGCAGTCGATAGAGTGCCAGGCCTGGAGTTAAGAAGACTCCTCTTCCTGAGTTCAAATCTGGTGTCAGGCACTTAATAACTGTGTGACCCTGGGCAAGTTACAACCCTGTTTGCCTCAGTCTTCTTATCTGTAAAATGAGCTGGAGAAAGAAGTGGCAAACCACTCCAGTATCTTTGCCAAGAAAACCCTCAAAGGGTCACAGACAGTTGGATACAATTGAAAATGACTGAACAACATCAAAGGATCCAGATCTAGATCTCTCCTCACTCCGTGTTTAGTTCGTTTTTTCCATTTTGTCATGAGCTCCCTCATAAAGAGTATGCATTTATATGGCACCTAAATGCACACACAGTGTGCCAGTCCAGGGGGGCCTCATTAGCATGGGCTGTGGAGGTCTATGGGAACTATTCAATGGCAAGCTAGGCCTTCAATGCTCTTTTGTAATATTGTGTGCCTTTCTTATCTCCTGTATGTACATAATGCCAGTGTAATTGCACCTTATTTTCTTGGGCTCAGGCAAGCCATTTGCACCAATCTATGCTACAATATTCAATTTCTACTTTATGACTGCTGTGATTGACTCCAAGTGCACAAAAGGGTATAAAGGCTTGTACCAGCAAGTGGGTCACTTCAGCCAAGGGTGATGGATCCCAAGCAGACTCTAGGCATTTTTAGGTTGGTGAAAACTCTGACAGCATTTGTGCCACTGTATAGTCCATATCCTGGGAATACTGGGACCTCTGGCACAGTCAAGAAATGGCATTTGTCTTTTCACATGTCCTTCATCCAATAAAAGCCAATTTGAACGTTAGCAAGTAAGTGTTCCCTGTTTGCTGATTTCAACTTCTGATGCCCAAGACAGGCTACCAACATGGGTGATATTGCTGATATGGTGACACAGAACAATGCATATGTATTAGCTCTCTAAATGCTTCTGTCTCTTTCACTGGCTTCTCCTTTGTTCTCCTCCTAACTCCCTAAGGCAGTGTTCTCCCAAGGTTTTTCCCCCAAGACCTTCTTCTCTTTTCTAATTATTCCTTGGCAATCTCATTCACTCTCCTGACTTCAACCAAATTTATACAGATGACTCTCACACCTACATTTCTAGTTCTCACCTTTCTGCCAGATCTGCTTCTCTTTATCTCCGAGTGAATGTTGCACTGGCACATCAGACTCAACATTTAAAAACCTGAACTTAACATCTCTCCCTCCAAATGAGTTCCTTCTGACCAAAACTTCTGCCAATGATACCATTCGCCTGTTCTTTATGTCTGAAAGCCTGTCTTATTTCTAATCTTATAACCTCATCTGATATCCAACTAGTTACCAAGGCCTATTGCTCCCTCTTCTATATCTCCTTTCTGCCTCATTCTTTTCTTTTATCTGTTCTTACTGCTACCATTCCTCATTACCACTCAGTGAATACTGTCATTGCCTCTTAACTGGTCTTTCCACCTCTACCCTGCCATTCCATTGCCATTTCATATTACCATCAAACTTATTTTCATTATGTATTAATCTGGTCATATCACTCATTTTTTCTAAAAATCTTCAGTCTCCTTGTTGTCTTTCTTGGCTAAAGTTCAGTCTTCTGTGTCTGGCAGTCACGGGCCTTCAAAATCTGGTTCCACCCTACCTTTCCAACCTCATTTCATATAACTTCATCCTTATGTCCTCTACATTTCAGGGGTTGATCTACTCTGTTTCCCTGCAACCCTTAATGCTTTCTGCCCTCCATGCCTTTGGCTCACTCTGTTATTTGTGCCTGGTATATTCTTCCTACTGAATTCCAACTAATCCTTTAATGCCAAACTACACTAAACCACTGCCTCTTCTCAGAGAAGCCTTCTCTAATCCTTTTTTGGTGATAATCCCCTAGTACTTTGTTTTATACCTATCTAGCTAGACAGTGGACAGAGTGCTTGGTCTGGAATAAGGAAGACCTGAGTTCAAATCCAGTCTCAGATACTTCCTAACTGGGTGATCCTGGGCAAGTTACTTAAACTCTATCTCAGTTTCTTCAACTGTAAAATGGGGATAATACCTAGCTCCCAGGGTGGTTATGAGGATTAAATGAGATAATATTTAAAAAGAGTTTAAGCACAGTGCCTGGCACATAGTAGGTTCTTAATAAATGCTTTCCCTCCTATTTAAAGTACTTGTCATAGCTAACTACAATATATGGTAATATATTTATGTTGTCTCATACTTCCACTATACATTAAGCTTCAAGAGGGTAGGGAACCTAATTTGTCTAAATTTTTATCCCTTCCCCTTAATAAATGTTTAATTGAATTGCTTAGTTAGATCCTTGTTAGAATTTTAGCTTACTTCGCAATCACTGGCCAGGCAAAATTTCTTTAAAAAACAGAGTATAGGGGCAGCTAGGCACAGTGGATAGAGCTCTGGCTTTGGAGTCAGGAGGACCTGAGTTCAAATCCGGTCTCAGATCAGACACTAGACACTTACTAGCTGTGTGACCCTGGGCAAGTCACTTAACCCTGATTGCCTCACCAAAAAGTAAAACAAAACAAAACAAAAACAAAAACCCCAGAGTATATTGGATAAGGGTGTGTGTGTGTGTATATGTGTGGGCACTACTGTAGTTTTTTTTTTCTTCTCATAGTAAACAGTCCTAAGATGCATGAATAAAATTAGAAGCAGCTTGAATGGCCATATTTTGAGAGGGGGAAAAAAGAGAAGAAGAGAACAAGATAGAGAGCAAATATTGTGTTCAGTTCTAGGTAGAGGAGTTTATATGACGTGTAAAAACTGGCTAAGATTCAAAGGAGGGCAATCAGAAAATTGAAGAGTCTTGAGTCTGTGACATGAAGGGATCAGTTAAAGGAACTAGGGATATTTAGTCTGGAGAAAAGAGCTGGATCACAGAATCATAGATTTAGATTTGGAAGGAAACTCAAAGGTCATCTAGTCCAACTCCCTCATTTTACAGATGAAGAAATTGAGGTTCAGAGAAATGACATATTTCACTTCCCATTTAGCCATTCACCCAGGCCATCTTGCCATCTTCCCTCCTGCCTGAATTCTCCTTACCTATGCCAGCAGCACTCAGTAAAAGGCTTCTACAATCCAAGCTGCCAGTCTCTAGGGAAGTTAAATTACTCATCTTTATAATTCCTGCCATAAGGTTAAGCTGTTTTGAGTTATCCCAATTCTGCCTAGCCTGAGATGTCTATTTAGCTGATTCCAGATCAGACTAGGCTTTATATCCCCTTCAGCCAACCTAAGCCATCTTGAAATCTGCCCTAATATCATGTGCATGCCTTGGTACTCTGCCTTCTTTTCACCACTTGCTCTGGGTGTAGCAATCAAAACATCACCAATGCTTTTGAAAAGGGCATGTCAAGTAACCGCCCTTTGGATTAACTCACCTTCCCTGAGATTCCTTAGATCAAAGCTTCCTTTCTTGGTCACCACTCCCCTCCCCTCCATATATCTGTTGTCTCCTCATTATAGAATATAAACTCCTTTAGGTAAAAGACTAACATTTTGTGTCCCTAGTGCTTGGCATATTATCTGACACATGATAAGTGCTTACTAAATGTTTTTCATGCATTAATCCATTCATTCCTGTTCTCTCCAAAGTTATTAACGATCTTGTAACTGTCAAATCTGATGATATTTTCCCAGCCCTCATCCTTCTTGAAAACTGCTGTATCTGACACTGTTAACTACCCTCTTTCCTCCTGGACACTCTCTCCTCTCCTAGTTTTCATGACATGTCTTGGTTTTCCTTCCTACATATTTGACTGTTCCTTCTTAGTCTTCTTTGTTAGATTCTCATCCATGTCCCACGTCCTACCCAAGGCTGTAGCCCAAGATTCTGTCTTGGGATCTCTTTTCTTTTGATACTCTCTCATTTGGTCATTTAATGGTTTGCTGCAGTCTCAATGATCATTTCTACACAGATGACTCTTAGATTTAGATAGTCAGGCCTAGTATCTTTTCTGAGCTCCAGTCTCTCATTAAGTATCTAACAGACATTTTGAAATGGATGCTCCATAGGTATCTAACATTCAACCTCTCTAGAACAGAACTTATTATCTTTTCCCCAGTATTCCTCTTCTGAACTTCTTTATTACTGTCAAAGATACCATGATTCTTCTATTCACCCAAATTCACAATCCTGGTGTCATCCTTTACTCCTTACTAGCACTCATTCCATATGTCCAATTAGTTGGCAAACTGTGTCACTTCTATCTCTACAACATCTTCATTTCACTCACTTAGTCAACTGCCCTAATTCATGCTTTCATTACCTATCACTTAGACTTTTGTAATAGTTTTCTAATTGGCTTCCTTATCACTGGCCTCTCCCTACTCCAATGCATTCTCTACATGACTGCTAAGGAGATTTTCCAAAAATGAAGGACTGATCATGTCATTTCTTGGCCTTTAATGAATTCTATTGGCTTCCTATCATCTCTAGGATCACATATAAACTTCTCTGACTGGAATTTAAAGCTCTTTACAACCTGGCCCTTTCCAGCTTTCTTGAACATCGCTCTGCTTCAAACACTCTACAGTACAGCTGTATTGAACCTCTTGTTGTTCTTCACACACGTCTCAGTGGCTTTGCTTTGTCTTTTCCCCATGTCTAGAATGTTCCTCATGTTCACTTCTTGGAATCTTTATTTTCCTTTAGGCATCACCTTCTACATGAGACCTTTCCTGGTCTGCCCAGCTGAGGATACCTTCTTTCCAAGGTTACCTTGTATTTCCTATAATTACATATGTAAATGTTTATTGTCTTCCTTGTTAGAATATAAGTTCCTTGAGGACAGCTACTGTTTTGCTTTCATCTTTGCATCCCCATCTAGAATAGTGCCTAGCACATAGTAGTTTAATAAATGTCTGCAGATTGAATGATTCATTCATTGCCCCAGGTCACACTGGTAGCAAGTAAGCAGTAGAGCTGGGATTTGAATACAGAATCTCTCCAAATCGAGTGGCAATTCCACTGTACCACGCTGTCTTTTAATGAAGATTTAGAGGAAACCTAACAGTAGTGTTAGGTATTTAAAAGACTGTCACGTGGGAGACAGACTAATCTTGTTCTGTTTGACTCTAGAGAGCAGTACCCTGAACAAGAAGGGGGCTGAAAAGAGGCAAGATTAGGCTTACAGTCAGGAAAACCTTTCTAACAATTGGTGAAGTTCTACAGTAGAATCAGCTACCTTGGGAGGCAGCTGATTTCTTATTTCATGGAGGTCTTCAGCAGAGTTTAGATGACCACTTATAGTATATGCTATATTGGCAGTTCCTACTGAGTATAGATTGAACTAGCTGGCCACTGAGGGCCTTTCAAATACCAATATTATGTGGAAAAAATGTTTAGATTCTATCTAATACCAACAGACCATATCATAGAAATACTGAAATTCATTTTGGGCAAGAATATCAAGACAAACTATGAACAAAAGAATAGGAAAAGGGGGATTTGTCCTAGCAGATTCTATAATATGTGAGTGCTCATACCTTGTGGCAGGACTACCATTTTGCTACCATTACCAGCTTTCAGAACATAGGTGTGCTATGAGTTTCTGTTTATGGATATGCAAAACAGCCTTAAGTAACAGGTGTTTGCTAAGTGTGTACTATGAAAAGATGTCTTTGAAAATGCCAAAGGAAATAAAGTGCTTTTACTGACAGGTATAAGTTTACTGCCTGAGATATTCCAGCCCCCCATAATTAGTTTAAAATTAGACAACAACACAGTCTTTGCCTGATTTCTCTGTGATCTGTTTCACAGCATTTCTCCTGTTTTTAGAGGAAAATTCTGATTCCCAGGCCCATTTAATTCTCTCTCTCTCTTTATGATTTCAGGGAGAGGGGAATGGAACTCTTGCCAAATTTTCCCAGAGGATACCTAAAATGTAAGGATATTTTGATGATGTCCACTTATCTAGCCCAAATTTAAAACAAAAAGAGACTTGAGTACAAGAATACATGTTTATACCTGGTTATTTCCAAAATCTCCTGTTCTACTGTCTTTTGCTCCAACTTGTATGAAATGATAATGTTTTCTCCTTTTAGCTAGCATAAAAATTAGCTCAAAAGCAGGGCAGCTACGGCACTAGGCTTCCATGGAATGGTTCATCACGAGGCTATTTTACTTAAAGAAAACTTACTATAAAGAGATAAACTAATGAATAGTGACAAGAGGATAGCATTTTCCAAAATCTCAGACAGTAGTCAGTTGTTAGTTGAATCTTGAAAAACTGATCAAGACTAAATACAAGAAGTATCTTACACCCCAAACTAGTAAAATGGGAAAAGAAATCCTTTGATCAATAGCAAGAGTGCAACACAACAGAACAGTTCTACTCACCTGTTCTCACAAGAAGAACCCAACTCATTGTGGAAAGCAAGATACAGACGATTTCTCAGATTTTAAACAACTTTCCACACTCTAGCACTTTGGGAACCCATGATGTCATTGGTATGGATAGTCTGTCCTCCTAATGCAACTCGTTGGCACCTTCTTATCCTGTTCAATTCCAACAATGTTAATGACGGATTTGGCTTAGCTCCTTCATTAGTACCCCAATTCTTTGGTTGTCGAACAATGTGACCAATTGTAAACTGTACCACCAGATAACTAAGGACTACATGATTCTTAGCACCAGTAACTCCTCTTTCTCCCACCTGACTGTCTTCATCCTGGAAGCAAGATGGGGTCACATGGCCATTTTGTATTTTAATCTGCATCATCAGTTGCTATGGCCTAAAACAATATTCCCCCCCCCCCAAATCTTTAACTTAATTCAAGATGCAGATGCTCTTCTTGATTATATCAACTGCTGATACCCTCTATCTCTCCCTCATGAACTACCTGGTCTTTAACTACTTTATATTTTTATTTTGTATTTACTCTGGATATATTTATTCTGTCTAGATTTATATAGGTATGTTTCCCCCATTAGAATATAAGTTCCTCGAGTGTAGATTGTTTCATTTGTGTCTTTATATTCCCACTTCTTAGCATGGAGCTTGGCATGTAGGAGGCACTTAATAAATGTTCAGTGATTGAGTGATAATAGGTCAAACTCCAGGTGATAAACATATTTATACCTAGCTAGAATGAAAAACAAGCCCATACTTTCAAGCCTTTCCAGTTGGAGGACCCATTAGAACTTGTGCTCCACTAACACAGCTTCTGAGAACCTGGGGTTAACCTCTACACCACAATGACAGCTGAAGCAGGACTTTCAGTAGAAGATGCTCTGGAATGTCACTTTAAAACTCAGGATGGACCCTGGATAATTTTATCACATATATATCCTTTAAACTTTTCAAAGGATAACATTTTCTCCTAATTCACTAGGCACTGATGATATGTCAGAGGCTCCTTTGTAGAAAATTATACTAATTACATTGAATTTTTAACTCATCCTAGACTTCTTTCTTCTTACTCCTCCCACCACCTCATCCATTAGTGGCTAAATCTTGTAGTAGTCTACCTGCATAATATCTTTCATATCCATGCCCTTTTCTCCACTCCCATAGCCAGCACCCTAGCTCAGGCCTCTCTCACCCTATTATAATATGGTCCTAACTGGTTTTCTTATTTCTGATCAATCTTCCACACCACTCCTAAAATAATCTTACTAAAACACAGGTCTCACCATGTTATTATCCTACTAAAAAACCTTTGGTTTTTGCCTCTAGGCCTCTGCCCTAATGTCTCTATGAGAAATTATAAATTCACTAATCCTGGCCCTCTACAAATGGGCTCCAAATTACTGTTGTAGCCTAATTTCATATTGCTCCATCACATATTCAATGTTCCAGCCAAAATGAACTACCAGCTGTTGCTGAATTCAGCATTCCATTTCACTCTTCCAAATGCAGAGCTATCACTCTCCATATGTGAAATATGATTCCTCCTTCAACTGCCTCTGAAAAGCCTTTGCTTCCTTCTAGGCTTAGGTCAGATATCACCTTTTCCATTAAGACTTCCTTAATCCCTTCAGATGTTATGTTCTCTTCTTTTTCAAATTAATTTATATTTCTTCATCCGTATACCTGCTGGATACCCTCATTTCCTCCTCCCTTCAATCATAGTAGAATGAAACCTCCTTGAAGACAAGGGCTATGTCATTTTCTGTGTTTGCAGCCCCAATGAATAGCCAAGACACAGAAGGCATCTTATAACTATTTGTTAGATTGAACTGAACTAAACCAAAAGCAGTTTCCTTCTTTACCCTTTTCTCTTTGGAAGAAAATAGATCTGGTCTAATGGGCTTTGACTATCCTCATCCTATTTCATAAAGCAAATAAGCAACAAGCACAGATTCTCAAGTCAATACCTTACCAGATCAGTATGGTGTTGAGAAACACAAGGAAACGGGGAGGGGGGTGGGAAATACCCTTAACAAAACAGTCTTACCGATGTTACTTGTGCCTTGATGGTGAGAATTCTTGAATATCGTCCTTAGAAAGCCGTTGAGCTGAGATAGATCAAAGTTTGTAGTCAAATTATCCTAAAAGTCAAAGAGATATTATATTTGTTTTCATGAATGTGAAAGAGGCAACTTAATCAAAACACACACACAAAACAGTCTAAAAGTATTGCTTTTGTCTGAAGGGCAAAAAAAAAATTATTGCAATGAATTGTAGACAGAAGCAATGACCCACAATCCACTTTGTGAGCACCCACGAGTAGTAGTGCTTCCTGACCTGTCCCATTCACAAGTAATGCTAAAGAAAGTAAGAGCTACTTCATGGTCAGAACCAGTGAACTATAACTACAAGTAGTTATAGTTATGCTGCCCAAACAAATTAGTATTGCTTCTTTAAAGAAATGGAGCAATGTGGCTTAGGAGGAAAAAAAATCTAACTTGCCAGTACTAGATTTTAAGGATGAGCCCCTGAGCAGATAAGTTGCTATCAGCTTTAACTGCCTTCAAAGATATCATCAGATCAGAAACTGTGGGAATGGGTGGAGAAGATTTTTTTGAGCTGGCTTTAAAAGAAAAAACAAAACAAAACAAGGTAGAGATGCATATTCTTCTCATGAATTTACTATATGGAATACCTAAGTGGCAAAGGAAGGCTCTACTACAATAAGAAGAACCTCATCAATAATTATATGTAATGATCCTCTGCTAGATCCTTTTGGTGATATGGAAGATGATGACAGCTCTTGTCTTGCTGGCCTACACAGAGATTTAAGAGGAATATCAGTGAAACAACTGAACAGGAGAAGAACCTAAAGTGAGATATTCTGTGTTCTACACTCTAAATTTGCCACAGACATCTAAAGAAGAGAATGAGATTAAAGGAGAGAATTTAATACCCAAGCTTTTACGGAGAATGTAGATCATGAACTAAGCTTTGAAGAAAGCATGTCATTTAGGCTGCTGGACAATATGGTCTCTAAAGTTCCTGCTAGCTCTACTCTTAAAAATCTTCAGGGGTTCCCTCTTGTCTCTAGGTTAAAGTAAGAAAGACTCAGACTGGCACTTAAAGTCTTCCTCAGCCTGGTTACCACTGACCTTTCCTGTTTTATCTCATTCCGCTTCCCTTCTCTTTGCTTTTCTCTAGTCCGATTGGCTTTTCCCCTCTACACAAGGCTGCAGCATCCATGCCTTGGTATAGCAGGTCCCCTTGTCTGGCCTGCACTTTCTCCTCACCTTTGCCTTGGGGAATTCTCTACCTTCCTTCAAAGCACAGTTTGGATGCTACCTCCTACATGAGGTCTTTCCTGGTCTTTCCAGGTAGCAGTACTCTTTTTCCTTTTGAAAAGACTTCACATCACTTTTTTCTTATACTTGCATCCCACTGATTGTAAGTTCCTTGAGTGAGGGACCTTTTTTTTTTTTGGCTAAGCAATGGGGTTAAATTACTTGCCCGGGGTCACACAGCTAGTAAATGTTATGTGTCTGAGGCCAGATTTGAGCTCAGGTCCTCCTGACTCCAGGGCTGGTGCTCTATCTACTACGCCACCTAGCTGTCCCATGAGGGACCATTTCTTGAGGGCAGGAACTATGTCATTTTTGTTTTTCAATGAAATTCAATTCAAGAAATGTTCGTTTCTTGTCTACCATCTAGCTCCCCAGTGCCTGGCATAGGGCACAGCAGGCACTTAATAAATGTTTGAATTGAAATGAATTTTGTGATTTAAACTGGCTCCATGTACTGGAAATTTAGGGGGGAAAAAAGCAACTGTGATTTGTGCTATTTCTGGACTTACATCCTTAATGTCACTTTAGCTTATCTCTATATTGCTCTACCAATTCCTGTCTTACTTGCTATCCCGCTATCTGCTCCAGCATTCAAGCACAAACTGCCATTAAGTTCCAAAGTTCTAGGCCATACTTCAGACAGAACTCTTACACATTTTGTCTGTGTAATTTTGCTGGAGACCTTCCTTCCTAGCATTTATTTTTTGAATCTTCCATGTCACCTAACAAAGCACAATAGGGCACTATCTATGGACACAGTTACCTAAAATAATAAATAAATAGAATTTAATTCTTAACTCCAGGAACACTCAAAAGCAACTGTCCTTGAACATGGAATATTGATATTTATACTCATCCTAAAACATTCTTTTTAACTACTTTCCATTTATAGCTTCAAACCAAAAATATTTGCACTTATAATCAGCCTGGAAAATGAGATACTACTTCAGATAAGAAATTTGGACCTTTTCTCATTGGAATTAGAAAACACAAACAAAATATGTCTCCAGTATTAATCTGTTGTTCCTAACCCCTTATGCTTCAAATACCTACAGACTTCTAAGTCACTTCTTAGTCTTTTCATATTAGAAGATATTGCCACTAATGGTATTTGTTTAAAGTCACAGAAGATCTACTACATGCAAATAACAATCATAAGTGATATTATCTTCCAATACAAAGGACAACTGAATAAAGCAAACCTCATTTCTGAAGTATTTGAGCAATTGCTCCCTTTGGGCTCAGGGGAACCAAGGTCATTCCAAAAACAGCTGATATCATGTTCCATTCCCCATGTTTTTAATACAGATAAAATCAAGTTAAAAAATCATATCAAAGACAGCTTTGCAGAGGAAAGAAGCCACAGAATACTACATAATGGTATTCTTAAAGTCATGATGTGCAGGGAGCAATCCTGTATCTCAGATGATGAGGAACATGGGAGGGTCAAGTATTTTTGTAACTATTTGTTGGAGGTATTTCCTTCTTTCCTACATATAGCCTCCCTCTTTGAGGTGCTATCTTCCAGAAGCTAGCACAATGTCTTACACATATTACCTACATAATAGTCACTTAAAAAATAGTGAAAGAGCAAAAGGGTAGGGGTGGGGCAGAGGGTTTGAAGGAAACCATGGCCATCACCCTTTTTCATTTGGCAAGATAATATGAATAATTTAGGGCATGTTTGCTAGTCTCTCTAGTAAGTGGGATGGACAATAATATTCATAAAGAAGGGGTAGTAGTTCAGACAGAGCATATTGCTAAAGGATGCTGATACCTCATCAGCAGGCCAAGGGACCAACATCTAGGGCATCCAAAAGAGGAAATTTTGGCATTCTCTGAGTCAGTTGTACATATATGTCTAGTTGTTCCGGCACCTAAATGTTCAAATGGTTTCCTATGGCTAATAAAATGAATTGAAAGACAGCTGCTGAGGGTAAAGATAGCATCCCTTAGCCATGGAATAGGAAATATCTGCATCCCCTTAAGCAGAAAGTGGCTGTGGGCTATTTTGCTTGGTACAATGTTGATGAATGGAACACTCAAATTCAAAGTACAAGCTCTTGGGCAGATCTCTGTTTTTCCTAATAACTAGAACTTTTCTAAGAAATCAAAAGGCTGTTTTTTTTTCTTTTTCATATTTATGCCAGTAATGCTAACATTTTGCCTGCCTGACATGGCACCGATTTCAGGTAAGCCATAACCTTACCGTTCACAAATACTACAGAAGCATTAAGGATACTAGGATTTGGGAGAAATTAAGATATAAAGGATACTATTTGATTTGGGAGAAATAAGTAGTGTGTTCCACAAACTTGGGGAAAAAAATTCAACTAATGTACATATCTTTACAGGGAACTGGCAAAGATCCCAAGCAAAGATCTTCTGCCTATAATTTTTGCCAATCTTTATTCTCATTACTCATTAATTCAATTCCTAAGTTGCTGAGAGACTGTAGAAATTCAACTTAATTTGTTCCTTTATGAAGCTGGATGGGTAGTTGACAAATATGCCACTTTATTATGATAAGCTCTAATAACTTAACCAAAACACAAGTAGTTGATTGACTCAAACTACCAGTCTACTTCTTACCTCAACCTTACCTTACTTTGCCAACCAAATGCTAACTGGATCATTTCAAATTCATTTTCAATTGAATTTCTTTGCCTATGAAATCTGGTTGCCAGAATCATCCTTGCCTTTTCCTTTTAATTATTAGCCTATAGGAGAAGCTCAATAAATGTTTGTCAAATGAATGAATGAATGACTTCCTCTAACCTTTAGACCTCAGTTTCTTCATTTGTGTAATAAAGAGGGAGGAGATGGTTAAATTACCTTTTCCTATCCAGATTTAAATCCCATGATCCTTTTCCCATTTTAAGAATCTTCAATACTTTCAGACTTCCACAGCCCTTCTAGACTTAATACCTACTGTATGGAGGGCACTGTAGCAGGCCCTGAGCATATAAAGATAAAAATTACTATTGTCCTGGACCTCAAAGAGCTTAAAAGCAGAGCCATGCCAAAGACCCAAATAAGTATGGCAAGAGTAGAATGTTATTAAGGACAAAGAAGAGGTCCAGACAAGCTGCTAAAAATTTCTCTGAGGAGGAAGGATTCAAATTCAGTTTGGGGGCAGGGAGATGTGGGGAGGGATAGTAGGAGGTCAGAGAAGGTTTCATGGAAGAGGTAGTACCTTCTAATCTGACCCTGAAAGGAGGTAGGGAATGCTAGGCATGGGAGATTGCCTGTATAAATGCATGGAGGCTGGAATGTGCAGGATAAGCCTGAGGAATAGGGTCAGAGGGAGATTCGTGTCAAACATAGCTGATTAGAGTCAGATCACGGAGAGCTTGAGATGCCTGGCTAAGGAGTTTGTATTTTATACCCTAGAAAACAGGGAGAAGGTTTCTGAGAAGGAGAATAACCATACTCAAACCTTACTATTATGCAGGTATAACCTGTTCAACCTGTATTGCTAATTATCTTCCAATTGCTCTAATAGACTTAAGAGTCTATTCCAAGAGAATTCTGTGTCACCTAGACCAATTACCTGAAATGTGTTCAATGCAAAGGTGGAAAAAATTTCCTTCCTTCCTTAGATTCATGAGCAACTTAAGGCATACCAGCATTATAGCCTACCATATCCCTCAACACTTTTACATATGTTTCCAAGTCAAAAAATGGTTCAGAAAAAAAAAACAAAAACAAAAACCAAATAAACAGAGATCCCACCAGATTTCCTTCCTTCCTTTTGAACTCCATGGCTTTCAATTAGGCTGTACTAAACTTTCCTT